GCCTCCCGCTGCTCGCCGCTCCTGCTCCCGCTGCCGCTGCTCGCAAAACGCTGCCTCTGTCGCCGCTCGCGCCTCCCGCTGCTCGTCGCTCCTGCTCCCGCTGTCGCTGCTCGCAAACGCTGTCGCTGCTCGCAAACGCTGTCGTTGTCGCCGCTCGCACCTCCCGCTGCTTGTCGCTCCCGCTCCCTTTCTCGCTGCCGCTGCTGCTGTCGCTACCGTTGCTCCCCGCTCGCCGCTGCCGCTGCCGCTGTCGCTGTCGCCGCTGCTGCTGTCGCTGTCGCCGCTGCTGCTGTCGCTGTCGTCAGTATTTTTAATATTAAGTTTCTCAGTCAGCAGGCTCAGTATACAGTATACTGTTAATATTAAGTTTATTTGAAATGATTAATTTTCAATGCTGTTAATAGATTTTCTTAATTTAATAGCATATTTTTATTTAAAATTTTAAATAATTATATTTATTAATTATATTATATATTTTTATATTTTAGCGCCTCGCTTCGCTCGGGCGAGCGCCTAGCGCCTCGGGCGTTTTTGGACCTTGGTGCCTTTTGGCGCCTAGCGCTTTTTAAATCATTGTTTGGGAAGAGAGCTGGCTAAATGGACATATTCCTTTTGGCCTGAATGTGATAATTGATGCTATATATGGGTGCTACATGAGAAGTATGTATGGCTATTATGGGAAGGGGGCTGGCTAAAAGGACATACTTTTGGCCTGAATGTGATATTAGATATGGTTCATCGAACAAGATTTAGAATGAAGCTTACGACTTGAAATTAAGTATGGTTTCATTTTTTATTAACGAGCTTAAGCTTAGCATGAAACACTGTGTATTAAAGATTAACAACATGCTAAAACTACTAGTTGATGTATCCAAGCTTCAAGAGTGATCATGGAATATTGATGATGCATGAAGAAGAGAATAGACTCATAGAGATTGATGTTGAATAATATTTTGGAACTAAGAAGGCCTATATTGAAAAAGGGCAGAGGATATGAGAGAGGTAGATTACAATCATTTACTTCAGTTTTATTCGGTTTTCTGTATTATTAGAAAGTTGGATAAGTAGATGAGGCGTTAAAGTGATTCATGGTTATGTGACATAGAAATTGACATAGAAATCTGGGGATTCCATGGGCCAACTATCACTTGAGCCAATGGTAGGCGAAATAGCAACACAGTATTGGCATGGAGGTTTATCATGATTCCGCAAGCTAGAGCAATGTTCGATATACAATGTTTTGGAAAGAAACAGGACACTGTATTACCTTAGGTCCCAAGTGTACAGACTGAACTAAAGCATGGCTGTCAGAGCTCTGGTCCCAAGTGTATGTTATGTCACTACATTTGTGCAAAATCGCCAGTCTATGTGCTACAGTGTTCCCCTCGTTATTTACAAACAAAACCTCAGCACATTGACCTCATTGACCAATCACAAAATGTCTTTGACTAGAGAGTCCAGATGGAATGCGACCAAATTTGTTCAATTTACAAATTTGACAGAAGTTTGTGAATCAGTTTTGACTAAAATGTTCCGTATCCCCTCCCTCTTAGCTCTCCACAAGCCCTCATAAACACTTTTCTTCCTCATGAAGAGCCGAGAGCATCATGCATTTTGAGAATCGAGCAGCAATTAAATCATTCTGTTGGTTCTTCATTTAGTATCCAATGTTTGCCAAACCAGAGATAGAGTTGCATGAACCACACAGTTCATATTGTTGTCCCAGCCTATAATATCACTAGTCCTAGCATGCACATTCTGAATATTTGTTGGACATACATGGTTACTAGACATGTTGATTGGCATGTATCATTTTAGAATGCGACTCATCCATGAAGGTAAAAACCTTCATCTAATTGGACAGTGTTGGTTGAGCCATAATCATTTTTGTGTTTGAGTTTGCAAATGTGAGCTGTGTTTTATAGATAGTTGATCAGAAACAATAGAATTCATTGAGATGTTCAGTTGGTGTGTAGATGGACCAAAGCTAGAGAGTATGATCATTGTATTTGTTTAGTTTTTTTCTGGAGCTTCTGATTGAGCTGCAAAGTTGACATGTAGGGATAAAGATATTCCTTTAAAGCAAAGAAATAATCATGTCTTTGATCGAACCAAGTTTTGATTGGTTCTTTGTTACATTTTTTTTGTTTCATTGGTGCATGCTTAATTTACTATTTGGTTTTATTTGATTATTGAAGTGTTGGTTTGAAATAGTGTTAAACATAAAGCAGCATTTGTGGTTCCTTATGATCAAACTCCTGAGATTTTTTAATTCTGCACTCAACGTATAATGCATGTGCATTTTATGTTAATTGCATCTAGTACTTATCCATTGCACCATCAATTTTCCATTTAAATTCTTATTTTATAACATCATATCCTATCTTTAAATCTGCCACATGGTGTTCAGCATCATCATAGCAAATCATAGGGGTGAATGTGTGTTAGATAACACTAACTTACATACTCTAGGCATGTGGCATGAAATTACATTATGTTTTTTGATTTGTTTTCCCAGAGAAGATGGTGTTTCTACAAGTAATTAGGAGGTTTGATCTTGCATTCTAGGTATGTTTATTGGTCTCTGGAAAATGGTTTAGTTGTGCAGATTTCAGAACGGGTCAAACAAACTAATCTTGCAGTCCAGGGAAATTTTTAAATATATGATCAGTTCTTGCTAATAAAGTACATGTAAACATTTTGCATTGGTTGAAAGTAGTTTGATGGGTCTCGTCTGGAAGTTAAGAAATTATTGATGGGCAAAGGAGCTAGGTAATTCCAAATAATTTTGGTTCCTTGCTGCACATTTCTTCTGTCAATTAAGTGCTGTATACTGGCGAAGATGATGGTCATTAATTCTGTTGCTAGGTGTTACATGATCCATTGGTTGTTGGGACCAAGGTTATCCAGATACTAGGACTGGAATCCGTACGGGAATCTTATTGGACAACTATGTACTGATTTGTATTGCATGATAAATGCTGTTGCAGCAATAAACTTACTAAAAAATATTCAATATGTTGGCAGTGACCAATTGTATCTGTGCACTGCTATGTCAGCAGATCCTTAGATCAGCATAGGACAGTCAGCATACCATGAAATTCAAAACCATAGGTGGTATTAAGTTATTTACGTGTCATTTAAATTTCATTCTGAATCATTACCTCATATTTTTCCTTGATAATGTGCTCCCTTTGTCTTTTACTTCCAAGTTCTGTTTCTGATTAAGTTGATTCCCAGTAACTACACTAATACTAATTTGAATAATCTGGTGATTAATTTTCACTCATTATTTTAATCTTTAGAATGCTCGTTTATCATCTTGCACTCATTATTTATGTTCTATTATTCTAATCAAACTAGGGTAAATCATTGGAAGTACGACAAGCTGCTGGTTTGCTGTTGAAGAACAATCTTAGGACAACTTTCAGTTCCTTGTCTTCTTCATACCGGCAATATATAAAGTCTGAGCTGTTGCCATGTTTAGGGGCATCAGATAGGACAGTTCGCTCTACAGTTGGTACAGTTGTCAGTGTTCTTCTTCAGTTAGAGACAGTTGCTGGATGGCCGGAGTTGTTAGAAGCTCTTGCTCAATGCTTGGCCAGTAATGATTTTAATCATATGGAAGGTGCCATGGATGCTATATACAAGGTCGAAGCTTCGCTAGCAAATCTTTAGTTTCGAATTATTTCTATTTTTTGACTTTATTTTTATAAAGAACATTTTTTTCATCTTAATCACTTTCAATTCTTCGAACACAAGTACACTGTGGGTATTTGTCTTGTAATCTATACTAACAAGTTTAGGATTATTGATTTCAAAAACATGAATTACATTTTCAGTAAATTACACAGCTTCATCTTCGAAAAAGTTGCATTTTCGCTAGATTATATTGTTCCAGATCAATATAGACATATGGACGTGTTGATTGGATGAGATGAGTCAATCAAGATTATCGGTGTGACATGAGGTGCAGTAAGACTTGAGAAAGCAACGAACAAAGATTTGATGGCTTAATTTCAATGATCAAAGATTTGATGGCTTAATTTCACAACATGGAGATAGATTTACTGGGTAAATTGTAGGAGAGAGAATATTTTCAGCCAGTGATTAGAAATTCATTCTGCTTAAAAGGTAGGAATAGGACTTAATTCATTGACTGTCCTTGTTTTTTAAACATGATAACTTGTGTAGCAAGTGATGGATGCCAATATGAATCATGATACTGTATCAGAATTGGCCAATATTGTGAACTACGGTCAGCGAATGAATGAACAAAATGGTGGTTGATGTTATTATTCTTGTTGACAGAACGCCAATTATGAGCTACTTAGTCTAGTTACCTCTCTAACATTTGTGTCTACAATAACCACACAAGTTATACTGAACACGTGTTATAAGCTCATCCATTATGAATGTGATAAAATAAAGAAATATAGTAGATCCTTGAAGTAAACTTAGAGTGACAGAGAAGTTACTAGAAATTCCTCTTATACTTCATATACTCAGTCGTGGCCTGCCTTGCTCTATTATGCTTGGTGGTCTTGACTTTAGTCTAGAGTCTGTTGACTTTGCTGACAATAATTGCTTAGTTACAAAACTTGCCAAAGTCATAATTAGAATTTATTGCTTCTTCCATGAATTGGATGCTCTTATTAATATAAAGTATCTTAGGGAATATCTACCCTAGAACAGAAATCACTCTGGAACTATAACATTTAGTGACTATGATTTCTGACGCGATTAATTTATTTGGCAAGCGGTGAAGTTCTGTCGTCTTTAGTTTAGTAAGATTTATCTTTTAATCATTGTCCTCTAAGGAGTCATATATTCTCTTTTGAAGCCAAGAATCATCTTTACTTTGTCATGATAGATTTGCGAGGACATCCCAGAAGAGCTTGATGTGGATGTTCCTGGATTATCTGAACGCCCCATCAATATTTTTGTGCCAAGATTGCTGCAGGTAATTTTAACTGCTTACCTTATCAAGTTTGTAGTAATACAAACCTTGTACTTAAGAGTTTAGATGTTGAAAATTTTGATTTGCCTTGTGTCTGTTTCAGTTTTTCCAGTCTCCACATGCGATATTGAGGAAGTTGTCATTGAGTTCTATCAATCAATTTATTGTATTTATGCCTACAGTAAGTAGACATGATGTCCAACTTGTTTCAGCCTTTGCAAAACTGAACTTATAGTCTCTCCTTAATATAATCTGAATCCTCATGCAGGCCTTGTTTATGTCCATGGACCAATACCTTCAGGGTCTATTTCATCTTGCTCAGGACCCTTCTGCAGAAGTGCGGAAATTGGTCTGTTACTTGACTTCTAGCATTTTTAATATTTTCTGTTTATATTTTTGCAAAGTTTGTACCTAGTTCATAATTTACAAGTTTGAAAACTGTAGCTGATTATTGGATTTATGATGTGTTATAATGATGATATTCCTGTCAACAAAACTACTTAGATGCTCATCATACAACTTATATTTCAACTAATATCTCTCTTTGGAGCAGATTATGTGATTACCTTTCTTAACCTTGGATATTATTTTTGGATGACTTGAAGTGTTTGATACCTTTGGCATCGTGTCCTTTCTCTCTGTATGTAGGTTTGTTCTGCCTTTGTTCAACTGATAGAAGTTCGACCAACCTTCTTGGAGGTATGTAAAAATTTTTATTTTGACTCGTAGGCCCTTTTTTTTTGTTGGCAGACTGCCAATTTGAGCTCTGCTAGCCCACTGGTGGGTACCAGGATAGTGCATGGTGCCACGGGATACCTCCTGTGGTGCAACCATGATGTTGTGTAACACATGCTGAGACATGAAGCATGACTATCCTGGATGTGCAGCAGCAAATCATGGCTCCGTCCCTATTTTTGGTTTCTCTGATATTGGGGTACTTGAAACTCTGTGAGTTCTCCAAGATCGAAGTAAATAGGCTGTACTTGTCACTTCAATATCTAATATATTGGATTGATACCTCTAATTCCAGAGTTCCCATAGTTTTTATGTCTGCCAGAGTATGTTGCTGTCTTTTTGTTAATTTTATGTGATTCTGTAAGTGACATTAGTCCTGGATATTGCAGCCCCATTTGAGAAATGTAATTGAATACCTCTTGCAAGCCAATAAGGACCCTGATGACGAAGTTGCTCTCGAGGCATGTGAATTTTGGTATGTTCAATGAGTTTGTTCTGCTTTCCTGTCAGCTTGTAAGTACATTTGGCTTTAATTGTTAAGAACATAAACTGAGGCATATTTGTTTGTCACTGCAATCTGATTTGTCGATGCCCATTTCAGGTTCATGTTTCGGTTGCCCTTACTGATGAAATTAGGGCATTGGAAATAATGTATAGAGACATTAAAATGACATTGTAACTTTATGCCATTTGAAGTTGAAAGATGATTTTTAACATATGATGAACCTTTAACCAAATATTTTAACCTAGAAGATTTTTATATATATTCAATTACTAGTATCTAGTACTTTCAAAAATTAAAGATTACTTAGGTTACAAATAATCAAGGTATGCAATTTTGAATAATACTGTCCGGTACGGGCGGTATGTACCCATTCGTTAGCTGATCGGTATCTGGACCGCCCGTTACCAGACGGAACGGAATATATATATATATATATATATATTAATATATATAAATATTTATATATAAATATTTATATATAAATATATATAATCTTTTATATATATATATATAAACGAGGCGATGTGACATCGCCTTATATAAAAAAAAAATATATATATATAAATATATATATATATATATATATATAAATATATATATATATATATATATAAATATATATATATATATATATATATATATATATATATATATATATATATATATATATATATATATAAACGAGACGACATCGCCCAGCCTAG